AAACATTCATGTGCACTGCTTAAAATCGATGTCATTCACATAAACATTGTGATAATTCACATCTTGTTCCACATAGTTCAGCTCTTATGCATTCAAAATATCATTTTTGTATCATCATCTACTTTTAAATAATTATTTATGACGAAAATACAAAGTTTTGATTTAATTTGAATATTTGCATTTTAAAGGAACATGGCATTAAAACTGAAATTTCACAAGCCATGGGGACCTGTAGAGTTTCATGTTTGGGAAGTTCTGAACAGAGTGATTCACTTACCAAAGGTATCTCAACTATTTAGACATTTGTTGTTAATTTTATGTAATCCTTGACTTTACAAATCTAAACCTTTCATTTTTTTCTCATGTGTAAACTTGTAAAATTCTTAAAAGAAGTACATTTTGACTGCTGTACATTTGTTTTCTTTGATATATTTGAGAAAGGACTTAATGACTTTTTTAATTTGTTATTTGCAGTAATTGTATTTATGACTAATAATTTTTCCACATAATTAAAGCACTGGAGGTACATTTTTCTTATTCAGATAATTTCGCCAAAATTCAAAAGTTATTGCAAATTGCAACTGATGCTGTAAGAATCTGCTTTGATAAATTCTTCCCCAAAGAGGACTTAGAAAAGACTCTGAAAGAAAATGAACCATACATGAGGACAGGACAGTTCCGATTCCTACCACCTCAACTAGAGATTCTCTTCCCTCCTCAAGGTACTTAATGGACTTCTATCTTTAAATCTTTATTGTTGAATATTATGCTTTTATTTTCTACAACTTTTTGGTGTATGATATGTATCTTTGTTTTAGATACAAGCTAGTGTGAGTTTTTTTTAAATCGTCCAATGCTTTAATTTGACTGTAGCCGTTAACGTTTTGTTCTTGTTAACTGTTGTAAAGAATGATGTCGTTTTAGTATTATCTTCCCAGGAGCCACTGATTAAAGGAAAAAAAATGTTATGTTGAAAACCATACCTCGTGCTTATTTAAATTCAATCAAGTCATGAGTTTTTTTTATCTTGAGGGGTAAAATTAGAGGTTTATATTTACATCGGAATTTAGGGAATTGAATCTTTTTTAAGAAAAGCGGAACAAGTTACATGTATATTAATTGGCAATTACATTTGGGCAGTAGTGCTTCAAATGTTTGGACCATGACTCTTTGAATTTGGTCAAGTTATTGGATCAAAGTTATACATGGCATTTGTATAAAACATTTTTAAAAATCTCTCCAAATGTGCTCTTGCTATGATCAAACACATTATTCTGCATTCCATCTTTTGATTGGGATTCCAAATTTATTGGAAAAAAAAAACATTGGACAGTTTCCATTTTATCTAAAAAAAAAATGATTAGTTTTCTTTATGTCGGGTATCTTCGGGTAATATTCTTCCGGATAAAGAAAACAAATTATTTGAAAATCTTTGGGTCCTTGAGTCTTCAAATGAGTGAAAGATTCTTGAGAGGGACGGTAAACAAAATTCAATCAATCTGCGGGTAAAATAGACTGACTTTGTTCAATGTCTGGGATTTGGGGGTAATGTTAGGCCTAAAAAATGATAAATTATATACTTTCCCATTATATTTCAAAACCAAGAGATAATCTGAAGCAGTGTTTTAGTTAACTGTAAACACCTTTGGCCTAAATAAAATGTAGAAGAAAAAATAAAAAAAAAAATATATTGAATAAGACTATTTATATATATCAATGATGTGAAGCAAAATGTAACTACATAAAAAACGACTGTTTCTTATCTATCTAGTGCAGAATGCACAACTTATGTATGTTAAATAATTTTTAAGGTGGACCCAACACTGGTGTATCATCTTTATCTATGGACGTTACCATCATGTATAAATTGTTGAGGAATTTCTCCGACATCGATCCTCCCGGGAATGGATGGGGAAAGGAACCTAAAGTTGATCACATTGCGGAAAGTGACGACATAGAGAGGATCCGTTTATATCGAAACAAGTCTTCCCATGATGCCTTAAGTAAACCTTTTATAAAGGATGATGTTTTCAATGTAATCTGGACTGACCTATCTCAGGTAAGACATTTCTATTTTATTGTATCTGGGATGATCTTTCTAAGATGAGTTTATGCAACATAAATTGAGAATGATTTGTTTTGAAACAGTTGGAAAAAATCTGCAAAACATCTTATTTCTTTAAACCTTAATTTTTAATTACCATTTTTAAAGTTAAAAACGAATATTATTATTTCAAATATGTATACTGTATACAAGTATATAGTTTAGTTTAGCTTCGAACAGAAACTTGCATATAAATATTTTACCCGATTTAAACGTAACATCTCTCTGAATAAAGAGTGCCTGGTGCTTGTCAGTGATATGTCATTTGGGGGGGGGGGGTTGCAAATTATTGTACTTTTCCAATAGTAGAACTTTGCAATATCACGTTTCGCGTGTCATATCTCCGTTGTAAACATTTTCATTTTTTCTGGACTACTGTAACACAGGACGTTAAATTATGTTTGGGGATAGGAACAATAGATTGTCAAAGTGTAACAAACGATGACTACTATTTCTCAAAAATTACCTTTCCAAAAAAAAAAAAGAAAAGTTGAATCTTGTACAATGAAAATAATAAAAAAAAAAAATGAATTTAACAATTTTCTGATTGAACGTTAATGTATGTACATTTATTACTTGTTTCTGTTTTAGCTAGGTTGAATTATTTTCTCCATTATCGATGTCATTTTTTCTCTTTAATAATATTTTTTCTTCAAAAAGTAATTTTTCTAACTAAATTAGAAAACATTGCTATTAATTGAATAGTCCAGTGTGTGATAACGATAAAAATCACCTTCTTTCCATATTTTTAGTCTACAAAATTAAAACAATACTCTCTAAAGATCTTTGTGTCCCCATAGACAAAGTTTCTGGTGTATATTGTTTTTGCCCTGTCCGTCCACCTGTCTGTCTGTCTAGTGTATGTTTGTCTGTTTTGTCCCCAAAAACTTTAACTTTGCCATTACTTTTAAGTGGATGGGGCTATGGCTTTCATATTTCACATGTCTTTTCCTTGTGATAAGACCTTTTTTCGACCCCTTTGTGTTGACCTTGAAGTTTGAACTTCTTTAACACACTTTAACCTTGGTCATAAGATTTGAACGGTTGGCGCTAGGTCTTTCATAATTCACATGTATATTCGTTGTAGAAAAAACCCTACAGTTGGAAAACATATTCTTGACCTTTCGACTCGACCGCAGAGTTTGACCTTTTTTTAAAAACTTTAATCTTGAACAATTAGAACGAGAGCTTTCATATTTCACAGGCGTATTCTTTGTAACAAATCTTCCATAGGATACGAACACTTTTGACCTTCGGCTTTCAAGTTTCACATGCATATGAGAAAGAACAAGTTACGGTTTTGGTCCTGTATTTTAATAAAATATAAAAGTGAAGATAGAAATTAAGATTCATCTTTTTTTGAATTATTGAAATTCCATAAAGTAAAAACCTACAAAGCATTTTCCTTATACAACCTCCAAAATGCTGATTGTGATGTCATGAACTTGTGCATTTTCTATTATTCTCTTTAAAAAGTTGCGAATGAAAAAAATTTTCAGTAATTTTTTTTTCTCAAAAAACATACAGCAAATATATCGCCCAAGAAGATATGTGATTTTCAAAGCATTTTACACAATATACCTGAATATTAAAATGGGCGACGGCTGTGGACACTATTTCTATTGAAAATAACCACAGAAATGAGTCATGTTTAGGCTTTTCTGCATAAAGCTTTGAATGTACCATATTAATAACATTATATGTCCAGAATGGTCATCCATCAAGTCATATTTTTTTTAATGATTTGTCATTGGCATGTATTCAACTCATATTAAAGTCACTTTCATAACTTTTTAAATAAATGATATTTTTAGGGCACGATACAGACCAAACTACACCTTCTTCTAAAACCCCCGACATAATCTGCCACACGGTGGCATCAGTGTGTCTCAAAAAATCTTGTTTTTATTATTTTCCAGGCCATACTAAGACTAAGTGGTGATGTTCTGAAGAGAAGAATAAGTGCAATATAACAGAGTGGATATCAGACTTGAGGAAAAACATATCTTAACATCAAATATTTCTAAAGAAAAAAAAAGAAGGAATGTTCTCATAATGATTTTGAGTCACTTTCACTATTAAAATTATATAATAATTGAAGCAGAGATTCAGAAGAGACAAACTGGATATTCCTTATTCAGGGAATTCAGCCCTTGTAATTTTTACAATACTTGCAATGGATAAAAGTTATTATTAAGTCTGATAGCAGATTTTTTTTTTATTTTAATGTGATTTTTCCTCAAATACAAACCTGCTGATGTCTTTAATACACGTACATGTATTTGCCTTTTAATAACCGTTACAGTGCTAAATACATAAAAATATTTAACGTATTTAACGTTATTTTTACTTGTAATAAAAGGTATATGAAACAAAGGATACATATGTTAGAACATTTGAGTAAAGGTACTGCAGTAATTAATAAGCATGCATTTGTTGCAAATTGACTGTAGTTACTCTGATAAAATGGTTCCATTTCCATTATCTGATTAATGTTAATATCTGCATTTATGATAAGTGATCAAAAAGTCCGTGAACAATCTCTTTATATACAAAACCACAATTCAGATTAGCATTAAATTTGGCACACATATAGTCATATACATTTTCTATAAATAGCACATGATTAGTAATGTATAGCTTCATGATTGTGATGTCACAATATCAAAATGACGTCATTTTGTAGGTTACTTGTGACAAAAAAAATGATTTCCCCGATGCTTTTTTTTTTTTTTTTAGCAAAGAACGGCTATAAATGTAACCTGTACGCTTTGCATTAACATTTAAGCAATTGTACAAAGTTAATAAAACAAAAGATATTATATAAATACAATCAATGACAGAATAATGTTGATAATGTTTTGTTGAAGGAAAAGTTATGTATAAAATTGCATTTGTTCTGCTGCCCATTGAGTGCAAGCTTGTCCTTAGTTTAGGAATTTGTTTAAGGAATCACTGTGAAGTCCTTTATGCAAATTATCCCACGTTTCCAACTATCGTTGATGCCCCTGGCATACTCATCTAGACTAAGACAGTGATTCCTTATATTTCCATTTCATTGTGAACTAGAATTGTAAATTTTGATCTTAAATAATATATACTAACAGAATTAAGTTCAACGAGGCCTCCTGTGTCAATTTCAAGAATCTTCGCCCAATAATTAAGACAGCCGCACGACATTTACGTGCATATTTAGCATCCTTAGCGTAAGACACTAAGACAGACATACACAAGATTTACATGTATATAAAGCCTCCTTAGCTCCTGACCTATTGCTTTTCCTAATATACATTCCAGCAGAATTGTCAAGAAATCATTTCCACCAACTTTCAAAGAGTAATTGAATAACACAGAGAAAACAAATAGAAATGGAAATATTATAATATATCGCCAAGTTTGAGCTGAAATAATAGTTGAATACCTAAACAATATCGATTGATTTAGACATTAAACTTATCACTACAGATATGTTTAAAAGAAGGCGCCCATTTTATATCCATAATGGATAAATCAGATTTCTACGAAAGAGAACTTGCTTTGTAGTTCTTTCTAGGTAAGAATATCTTTATTTACCCATTCTTTTTCCAAAATGAGGTCATTTCTGACCTCATAAACTGTTCTTTTTTGTTATGAAAAAGCTTTCATGGTAAAAAATATAATATTCTTAATTTTTTTAGCTTGTATGAAAGATGTCCGATTGAACTTGGAAAGGACAACTTTAAAAAATTATAAACGCTAAAACTTATTTTATTTGCTTCATGGTAGTTAATAAGTTTGCGAACCTTTTTTCATCACCTATCATACATCAGTATGTTGGACAATTACAATCTAAGAATGCTCTTTCTTATTACTTTAGTACGTTAATAGTAACTGTTGCCTACTAAATGTATATAAAGTAATATTTTAATTTTACAGTCAGAATTGTCACTGTATTACTCCTATTATAATTGCAGTATATAATTGCCATTAGGGTAGTATAGCAGGTAAGGTAAGGATATACTATTTTTTCTATTTACTCTAATATATTGAAAATATATTATCTGTAGTATGTTGAATATATAATTACTGTAATATATTGAATGTATGAGAAGGCTATGGAGACAACGAACAGTATTCAATCTGAAAGTCCATAAAACAATACAAAATAAGAGCAGAACAAACAAGGGCCTCCGAAACATCAGAGGTAGGATCAGGTGCCATGGAGGAGTGAGCATCCCCTACTGACCGGTCACACCCGTTCAGTGCTCGTTGTCATGATCAGGATATAACGGAAAAAATCCGTCGTCAATTCAGTGTATAAATAATGGACTAACAATTGATATGAATAACGTCATTCAGCATTTGACTCAATGATAAATTGTATTTGCTGACAAGGTCATTGTATCGACCATAGAACTTACGAAATGATGACTTTAAACGAGACTGTTGATATTCTTGTTTCATCAACTTGCTTGTCAATAATTTACCTCGTTTAAGAAATTGTTCATACGTAGAGCATTCTCTTGCGTATCGAATCAACTGAGATATATATACTCCGTATGCAGGTGATGAAGGTATATTGCTGCATAAGGGAAGTTGACGATAGAAAAGTTAAAGTCATCACGTTTATCACATAGCTTGGTTGTTAGATTACCATTAGTGTCTTTTTCAAGTAAAATATCCTCCAAGTATGAAGCAGAAGTGTCTGACTCTGTGGTATCTTTTATCTCAAGCTCACCAGAATATATCGTATCGACGTAGGAATGGAAATTATCATTATTAATTGACAATACGTCGTCGATATATCTAAATGTCTAACTTGAAATATGGTGGAATAAAAGACTGGACCCTTTTGTGATTAAGAATATTATATAAATTAACCGCGTCAATTCCTTTATTGGCATATTGAAGTTTATAAGGAAAAGATGGATTGTTTTAGCTGCATTTTCTTCCGTGAAACGTGCAGGTTTAAAAACGCAGCTAGGATAAGGCTGTCCGTAAAATATCAAACTGTTCAAACTGTAGTAACTTCTCTGAACTACCTAGATATGACGTCATAATAGAATATGACGTCAAGTCACTGCATACTTGAGCTGACATGACTGGGAAAGTGTCATAATTATTACACGGTATGTAGATTTATTATGGGGACTTGTGTTTAATTCAAGAGTACGGGTTGTTTTTTATGTGCTATTTTGTGTGCTGTTATAATGTTTAACAATTGATATTTAAATATCTCTATTCCTTTTGCTTGTCTGATATAAAGAAATTCAAGCAATAGCAAAAAATTATGTTTGAAACGCTCCCCTTACACTTCCGTAGACAGAGTTAGAATTTATGAATCGTGTTTATATTGGACTGGCACAAGTGAAAGACAAGAATAAATTAAAGATATTCTGCTTGAATCCTAAAGAGAAGTATGTCTTCTAACTGAATTTTGCTGGGGGGTCGTGTGTAGTTTATCCGTTTTTGTATAAATCGCGATAAAGAGTGGGAAATACCCCTTCTTACGTTGGTAATTTTAATTTATCGTAAAATATTTTCATAAGAAGTAATAAAAATTAAACTTGCCCCCAGTCCTTTTTATGTACCAGGGATTACGATGAATAGATCTATGTAACAAACTTTGCACAATAATATTGTTTTCACTTGTGCCGAAGCGATTTTAGTGCAACATTTAAGAATAACAAAAATGTCCGTCACGTGATCAACACAGTCATCTGTCATCACAGAAATGCTGTAATATAATACCTGATTAAACTGTTATCTCAAGTTGACTGCAATTTCAAACAAGGATCACATATTGAAATTAAAATCTAGCTCAAAATAAAATGTATATTTTTAAGACATTTTAAGCCTTCGGACAGCCTTATCATAACTGCGAAGCCTATGATATGCAATATCCATAATAACAGATCCGAGCCTAAGGTGACGAGGAATCTAAAATTGGACTTTCCTTGGCCTTTTCAAGAAGACTATTTAAAAGTTTCAAAGGGATGATGGTTTGGTGCGAATATGATGTAGACCTAACTGTTGATTAAGATAGAGTAGTAATGAATCAAAAGAGACGTCGTGTATTGCAGGTTTATTTTACGAACGATGCCCATGACTACGCTTACGTCTCTGAGTATTGTTAAAAGTCCCATCACATTTACATTATTACACTGCGGGCTGGAAAGATTTCCAACACTATCGACATTGTCATTACATCCATAGGGAAAGGCTGTCCCTAGTTTTCTAATCCAAAATTCCTCTCGTTGTCTACGGAAAGGTGTACTCAACGACGGACTATTTGTGTGGTGATAAATCTTTTCGAGAATTCTAACTTTCATTGATAAAATAGAATGATCATATGAATTAAAATGTTTGTATAAAAGCTGCTGACCACCATGATTTATTTGAAATCGATGACCTTATATTCTTTTGTTAAGCTATCCCTTCTTTTCACCGACATAAATAAGTCCACACAGATTACATTCTATTCCATTTCTAGACAACATTAGAAGATTTGCAGTTCAGATTTTCCCAAGTTTTGGTATAGAAGCTCTGTCCAGTAAGATTACTGGTGAAAGACTTGTTTTTTCAAAATGTCACAGGTTTTACAGTTTCACACAGAACATTCTGAAACCGAAGACATTGGATCTGAAAAGTAATTATCCAATATATCTGTAATAGAAACTTTACACTCTCTCAATTTGGTATATGATGTATTGGTTTTATACCAAAACTGGGAATCTGAAGACTGTACATATGACATATGTTTAATATCCCTGAGGATTATCCGAGGGGCACCAGAAATTGAACTCCTTGATGTCTGTGTCCCTTATAAGACTCAAAGGAGTGACGCCTTTTGTATACTGCCAGTATCATTTCGTTATTCTGTGTACTCATGCATGAATAAGTATCCTCGGGGACAAACTGTCCACCAGCAGAAATACATGTTCGGTGGTTAAAAGAGGGATATGGAAATAACGAATTTATTGATTTTCCATTA